AAAAAATTAAAATTAAAATAAAATAAAATAAAAACTAAAAAACTATATCCAATTTGTTTAAATTCATGTCTGCAACTAACCGTCTATATATATTTTTTTTATTATTGTTTTTTTTTTTTTCGGTTGTTTGCATTTTCTTTTATATCTTTTCATTCTCTCCTATGTCCTTCTTTGATCTTGACACCAACATAATGTTATCTTCAGTAGTGAGTAAAATATCCAGCAATGGATAGAAGAAATCGAAATGAGTGTGGAGAGAAAAATATACCGTTGTAGATAACTTGAGTGGAATTCTAGTTAATTTATTTTGTATTGTGGCTTTTTTAGTAATTCGTAATTAGAATGAGAGAAACTGAATTAAGGAATAATTAAATTGATGAGGAGTTGAAATATAGTGGAATCGAAATCATATTCTTGTTGAAACTGTTTACTAAATTTTCTAGAATCAGAATAGGAATAGTACTGAACCATATAAGATGTTTACTAATACACATGATTGGAATAAAAATCAATTGTGATTGCTAAAATGTGCATACTTTAGTAATCTATTTTGATATGCTAATTCTTATTTACTTTTTCTTTTTCTTTTTTTTTTTGTTGGCATAACTTTATTTATTTTACTTTAACTTTGTGGAAGCCGCTGTAGCCAAGGAAGATGGAGGTGTGTTTGGAAAGATGTTTAGGGAAGGATGGTTTGAGGATAGGGAAGGAGTGGGATAGGAGAGGGAGGTGTTTGTGGCGGAGGGGAAGAAGAAGGAGGTTCAGCTGGGCAGCAGAGGGAAAGAAGAGGGAAGGTTTAGCTGGACAGCGGTTGGTAGTGTTGTCTGTTGTGCTAATGTAAAGGGCAAACTTGGAAATTTAGAAATAAGTGTGGGTATAATGAGGAGTAAATATTCATTTCGATTCCTCCAAAATTTGCATGGGTTCTACTACTAAATTTTTTATTTCTCAATATTTGATAAACACCAAAGTATTTCGTACTTAGAATTCAATTTTGATTTTCTTATTCCAATTACCTTTATGTAAATGTGCCATAAAAGTTGCCACAGTTTATGTTTCGTTCTCATCATGCAACTTTATTATTCTTAATCTATCTATGTCTATGCCGATATATTATGCCAACAATTCATTTGGGGTCACAGGCTTCACAAAAAAAAAAAGGGGGACAAAAATGCCTTCTAAATAAAAAAAAAGTTCAAAAGCAGCCCAAAATAATGCAGGTGTAATTTTTTCATGAAAAAAAAGTTAGAGGGGTTGTTCAGCGAACGGGAAGCAAACAAAGTCTTCATACCAACATCGAAGGCTTTGCAGCTATCCAGAAGAGAGCCCTTCTCTATAGGGGTGCTAACACTTTACTAATATAATATCAAGTAAGGGTTCCTTTTTTTTTTTTTGTCATAATTATTTTTTTTTTAATTAGTATCTCGCTATTACATGGAATATCCATTGGTTTCTTATAGCATGGTTTAATATTATTCATTTAGTCCAAATATTTGACTTTCTTTTTCTTGGTTGAATTTATAAGAGCTATGACCTATTATGTAAAGTTGCAATTGTTGTACCTAATCATCATACAATCAGTTATTCATTAAATATTATTTTCTTTATTTTTAAACATGTTTAAAATATTTTAAGAAGTGCGTAGTGTCAGTGATAAAAAAGGTCTTTCGCACACGCATTGTATCGAATCATCATACAATCAATTGTTTATTTATTTATTTTTTTTATAATTAGTATCTCACTATTACGTGGAATATCCACAAGTTTTTTCCAGCATGGTCTAATATTATTCATTTAGTCCAAATATTTGACTTTCTTTTTCTTGGTTGAATTTATAAGAGCTATGACTAATTATGTAAAGTTGCAATTGTTGTATCCAATCATCATACAATCAGTTATTTATTAAATATTATTTTCTCTATTTTTAAACATGTTCAAAACATCTTAAGAGGCACGTAGTGCCGGTGATAAAAAAAAGCTTTTCACACGCACATTGTATCAAATCATCATACAATAAGTTGTTTATTAAATATTATTTTCTCTATTTTTAAACATGTTCCTGACCCAAATTTTACTATAGAAATCCTACTAAAGAGAAAAAAAGAAAGTTTAAAAAACAAAAGAAACCTGATCATGGAGGGACTTGAAATAAAGAAAATAAAGGTGTGAGTAACCCTTTTCAGAGATCAAGTTCTAAATTTTACTTTGGAAATCCTAATTATTTATAGAAAATTCACTTTTTCGCTTTGCGAAAATAGGTTTTTTGAGTAGATAGGAGACAAGAGTTGAACAAAAAACCTTCATTTGTGTATATTGTGGTCCTTTCAAATGTTGGAATAAAGTGTTTATCACTGTTAAAAGTAAAAATACTTCTCTCGAACTTCTTTGCTTTTTCATCCACTTACGACTTTTAACACATTTTGTTACTGTCAAACAGGTATTGGTTTGATTGAGATTCGGCCCTTTGTGTCAATCAAAGTCATTGCTACTAGGTTAGCATAAGTATTTGTGTCAATCGAAGTCATTTCTACTAGGTTAGCAGAAGTATGATATATGACGACCTTTCTCTCTTGGTTCAATTCAAAATGTAATAAGTTGTTAGTGATGGCATTTCTTTTCTGTTTTTAATTTGACTTGTAAAAAAAAGAAAATAATGAAATAAAAAAATATCGAAGTAATTAAAAAAAATATCTTATACGTGTGCAGGAAGACTAGTATCTTATAACGAGAGAGCATAGATAGGGGGTATGGGCCTCCATATTCTGTCTTAATTTTGTTGCAGGAAATGAGGTAGACCAAGATTTCTATGTCCTTGGCTGAGAGGACATGACTTTTGTCATTGGGAAAACAAAAAAAAAAAAAAAAAAAAACAATAACTATTAATTGTTGTTGGAACAATTTAAAAGACATTTTTGTCACAATACTTTTTTTATTATTATCCCGCTTCTGGTAATAGTTATTTCAACAATAGTCATGTTTATTCTATTATTATTATCTTTTTTTTTTTTTATAAAGACAATAAACGCTCAGTAAAAGACTTAGGATATCCAATATATCTATATTTGTTTTATTTTAATTTTAATTGGGAAGTGTTATTGACATTTTAAAATTTTCATTCTACACTCCTTATAAGTGTATTTTTCTTTCCTAATATAGAAAATTTGGAGTATAGAATGAGATTTTTTGAGTGCTAATGACAATTCTTTTTTAATTTTGGTAAGAAAGTCAGAGAGATGATACTATCTAGTCTGATTGGCATGAAGAAAAACCCAAATCGAGTCCCCAAGTTTGATGTTAATTAAGGAATTTGATATTCTCACCCAACCCAACTACTTTAGTTATGTGCATGCCAAGGTTAGGAGGAAAGACCATGGCATCTAGAAACATATGACTTTTAATATTGAAATTAACATATATAAGCGTCAGACCGACCCAAACATGCACCCTCTAATTTAATTGTGTATTTAATCATTTATCTGGTAGAGTTTTTACTCATCGTGCCTCGGACTCCTTTCTCACGAGTCATGATCATACAAAATAGTAGCCACAAGGGTTTAATAAATAGATATTCACTGTCAATGCTATCATCTCTCCCTTGAAGAAAGAAAGAGACACAATGTTGAAGTGATGTGGGAGAGATTAATTATTTCTAATATTATGAAATGTTGTGTTCATTATGAGATAGGACGAAGAACGTGTAATTCGATCCCAATTGTTTCATTAATAAATTTTTTAATTGTAACTAATGAATATGAATGTTTTTCTTATTTGTGGAGAGATGGAACCATTCTAAGATACGCAAGTATTCATGTAGTCACTCGTGCTAACTATATGGTTATAAGTAATATTGTTTAAGTACTGGCGGTGCCACATTAAAAGCTATCATGGGCTAACGCCCATGTTGCTTTTGGTGGAAAAAGAAAATCTTATATGTAATTTTCAGTAATTTCTGAATGTAGCCCAACGTATATTTGGTCACTAAGCTTAATTATCTGAGTTTAATTATATGAATTTATATATTACAATTTATAAACCATCTCTTTTTCTTACACTCTTTTTCTCATCATTTCTTGTACATATTTGTTTCAAGTTTGATTTTATTTGAATTTTAACACGTATTTGTTTAACAATGAAATATTCCTAACTCACCCAATGAAAATTTTCTTAGGCTAGCTAATATTGTGAAAAATATTGTATGTTTCTCCGTTTATAAAAATTTAAATCTTTAAACTAGCCCACTCAGAAAAAAATTCTTACTTCACCCTTACACATAAGACTTGATTGTATAGAAAATTTTCTTGTGAAGAGAGCTTTGAACTTTAAATATATTCCAACTTTATAAACAGATGAATCATTAGATTAGCAGCAACATATAAATTCGAAGTTAACTCTTTTATTATTAGTATAAGTTACTACAAAATTAAGTTATAAGTTGGTTAATCTTTTCATTCATAAATCTTCCTCCTGTTTTTGTAACATACTACTATCAACAACAAATTTTAAAGTAAATGCGATACCTTTCCTATATTTAAGAACAAGGAATCTTTCATGAATGCTTCCATTCAAACTCCCAACATATATATATATATTACTTAGTTATTGATTACTTGCATTCCTATTATATACACACACATCTCATTCTTTTGGTTGAAATTAAACACCAACCACTTGCCAAAAATTTAACTTAGTGGGGACCCGGGGATGCCTCAACGGTTCCAATGACAATGAGATGGGCAATTCGGTAATTTCATCATCAAATCAGTGTCCCATCACCAACTATAATATGATGTATCATATATATAATATGAGTTTTTTGTCCTTTTCATCTCAGCACCGGTCGTCAACTTTGCCGATTTTCCTAATTTACCCTTGATTTATCTCGTATCCACAGTAATCTGCCACCATGCGTAAACTCTTTGATCCACTCCCTCATCCGCCACCATGCGTGAACTCTTTGGATCCCCTCTCTCTCTCTCTCTTCAGTCTACGCAGCTCACTTTTTTAAGCTGACACGGGCCTTTTCTCTTCTGGGTTTAATCTGAAATTTTATCATCCTTTATCTCTGAGCTTATTTTTTCCTCACAAATTTGCTTGACTTTTCCACGCTTTCACAATGAGTCTCTGATCCCACTTTCCTGTATTGGTTCTAAAACCCTGGGCTCAATCCTTCCCAACCCACTTCCCTGTAAAGATGAAGTCTTCAACTCGGCTGGACTCGGCGCTGTTCCAACTCACCCCAACTCGGACCAGGTAATCCTTTCTTCTAATCAACTGGGTTTTTTATGAACTGTTTTTTTTTTTTTTTGGATAATAAAGACTTGATTTGGTTTTTTTTGCAATTGGTAAAGTATTGGGTTATGAGCAATGTCTAAGTTGGAAATTTACTACTTTTTGGATTTTGATATGATTGTTGGTGTTTTGGAATTGGATCTTTTGGTGTTTTATTGGATATCTATGCTATGTGTCTATTTTGTTTTGTCATTGCATGTGTGGAAGTGTTTGATTATTTGGTACTCAATCTTTTCTGGCCTGCTTTGTTTTTGTTCAGTTTGCATACCTTGATGAATTATAGTGTCCATCAGTTTAAATTCATTTGGAGGTACATTTGGTGGACATGTATAGATTTATTGATTGAGAAGCTGCAAGCATTTGTATTCGAACCTAAACAAGGAAAGATTTTGATGAAAGTGGCACTATTTTTTATTGCTTATCCTGTTATGTTTCGAGTTTATTATGCGAAAACATGATTGTGAAAGTTAAAAGTGGTGCCAAATTGTTCTTCATTTTGATATTTTTTTGCCCCTTTCCTTCCGTTTTGACAGGTGCGATCTGGTTATATACGCAAATGGAAAGACAGAGAAAATAGCTTCCGGTTTGTTGAATCCATTTCTGTCCCACTTGAAGACTGCGCAAAAACAGATGGCCAGGGGTGGTTATTCAATTATTCTTGAGCCAGAGTCCGGCAGTGATGCAACATGGTTTACAAAGAGTACGGTGGAAAGGTCTGTAATGGAATCCAGTGCCCCTCTACTGTTTAGGGTATTTGCAATATGTTTGATAACTGCATAAGTTTGATCTTCTCAGCTAAGCACACCAACTAGAAATTGTAGGGTAACATGAATATTGCATGCAATGCATGCTTGATCTCTAATTTTGAACCCCTTCTCATTTTGAAGTGTAAATGCAACTGATTTCTCTATATTTGTCATCAAATGTATTAAAAGTTCTTACTAGATCTTATAGGCTCAACATTTCATCTTCCGAACCTATGAATGTTGCCAGAGCTTTACTTGCAATATCTTGTGTGCTGCAATGATATTTCTCTCCCCGGAAAATTATCATACTGTGCTAATACGTGAAGTGAATCTTAGGTTTGTTCGCTTTGTGAGCACCCCAGAGATCTTGGAACGGGTGTACACTTTAGAATCTGAGATTTTACAGATTGAAGAGGCAATTGCAATTCAAGGAAATAATGAGATGGGACTTATTCATGTAAGTAAAATCTATTAGTCATCAATGATCTGTGTGTGGTATGTCATGGAAAAGTCATCTCAGTTTCTTTGTGGCAGGTAGAGGACAATCATGGAAAACCTGTAGATAGCATTGAAGGTAATGTTGAAAAAACAACTAAACAATGTCACAATGATTTTCTTATTAGTAAAGAAAGATTTTTTTTTCTGTTTCTGTTTTCTTTCAATTTTGCACTGGACAGCTGATATTTAAGTTGTATACCCTTCCCACTCAACACACTTGATGCAGATAGTTCTAGTGGTCCCAGTTAATGCGTCTATCAGGTGGCGACAGCCCCTAACTTTCTGACCATGCTTCACCATAAAACCAGTTTTTTTCTCTCTTATGCAAGCTTTGCCTTTGGGGTCTATATAGGAAAAAAGGAGGGTGTTGAGGTTTGAGAGGGGGTTAACGGGGAAAGTTTCAAATGCTTATTCATATCAGAACATGAAGTCTGGTGAAAGTTTCACTGGGCTTCTATCTCTTTCCTCCCTTTTCCCACTTCATTTTTGTTTCAAATAATGGGAAGCAAATACTCGGTCAACTAAGCTCTGTAATCTGTTGTCATGTATGTTTTAGTTTCCGATTAAAAAGGCTGTAGTTCCTTCTTTGTTTCTCTAGTTAATGGTCCATCTACTAGATTGTGATCCCCAAATTATTTATGACAGGAAACAAGCTTTTGCTAGATGCTAATGAAGAGAAAGCAATTGTCCTTTACCAGGTTTAAATTTATACCTTTTTATTTCATTTATGTTTGTTGTTTAATGTCTGATTTGGTTTCTCTTATAAAACTTGCAGCCTGATGCCCAACCTGAAGCAAATGGACCCACTGCACAAGGGGAAAATTCAAAGTATTTGCCATCTCTCTCATATTCTCTTGTGATGCTCCAAATCCCATGTATTGTGCCTCTCATGGGTTAAATTTATCATGAAAAGTAAACTATTGTTCAAGGGCTCATCACATGTGATCTTGAAATTTTAGGCATCACTTCGAACCTAAAGTCCCTTCAATTATCCTGCTGCCATTTCAAGTAAACCAGGGAAGTGTATGGGCGTATGGAACCTCCTCCCCCTTATGTCTCCTTTATATATAGTTGAAGGGTGGTTATCATTTGCTAAAAAAGAAAAAAATGGTAGACTATTGATGCCAGAAGGAAAAAAAACATGGTTTGTATCATATTTCTATAAAAGTCTGATGGAAAAAAGAAGTTAAAGGGTCAGCACACACATTCACACACACGGGATCGCACACATCTTCATCTACTCACCAACATAATTTCTATTGATGAGAATCGATCCAATGGAGGGATGTTTAGTTTCTCAACACTATGCATTGCATCACATATTATTAGGGTATTTCCTTGTTACTGTACAGCTCTTGTATATGGCCTTCTGCTTTCATCTCCCACATAGGATCTAGAAAGGAGTCAGAGGACTAATTTTTATTTTTTTTATGGTCACTGCAATGGTTATGGTATTGAGCTCTTCGTGTCATAAGTATTCTTTCATCACTGTTATGATATAATTGTATTTGTGTTTTAATTTTTCTCAGTAATAAGAATAACATTATTGCAACAGCTAATCCATTCATCTAATAATATGGTAGAGTTCAGCTTTTAAAAGTCCTGGAGACACGCAAAACTATGCTGCAGAAAGAGCAAGGTATGGCTTTTGCACGTGCTGTTGCCGCAGGTTTTGACGTTGATCATTTGGCACCATTGATATCATTTGCTGAATGCTTTGGGGCTTCACGCTTAATGTAAGTAGAATTTTTTCCACTGGCTACTTTACCATTAACACGTGGCTGAATATTTTGTATCAGAATCTTTCCTGATAATGTTAACGTCATCAATCTAACAGGGATGCTTGTAGAAGATATAAGGAACTGTGGAAAAGAAAGCATGAAACTGGGCAGTGGCTTGAAGTTGAAGCTGCTGAAGCAATGTCTAACCGATCAGAATTCTCTGCCATGAATGCATCAGGCATAATGCTTACGAGTGCAACCAACCAACAAGTAACTGCAGGTAGGAGTACAAATTATAAGAGGTATCCTACCAATAAGTAACTAACCTAATTCATCATTGGGACACTGCTCTATTGTTGTCTGAGTCTTAAATAATTAGACAGGATCATTAATTTCAGTTGTAAAGAGGAAGGGTGTGAAGCTCTACTTGGGTCACAAATATGTGGAGAATCTAATGTTTTGACTTTGAGAAGGGCCCCGTTCATCACACTGCATGGATTTAGTATAACCGTGCTCCAAAATTATGTAGTATCATGTTTGCACATTGTCATCTGTCGTTGCTCATTACTTTTAGGCCTGGCTGAAAAGATTTTGTCTGCTTATTTGTACAGAAGAAAATCCTCCCATGGAGCATCAACCACCATTAAGCCACCAAGAATATTTTCCTGGCCAGTTTCCCCATCAGATGTACCCTCCCTGGCCTGTTCATTCTTCTCCAGGTGCATTACCAGTGTATCCACCATATCCTATGCAAGGCATGCCTTATTATCAGAATTACCCAGGAAGTAGCCCATTTTTTCAGCCACCTTATCCAACAGTAGAAGATCCTAGACTCAATCAAGGTCAAAGAATACAGAAAAGGCACTCCATGGATAGCAGTAGTGGAAATACTGAATCAGATGATCCGGAGTTGGAGAAGGGTTTTTCAAAAAGTCACGAATCAGGAAAGAAGGCTAGCCGCTCAGGTAAAAAGCAATCAGGCAGGGTTGTCATTCGGAACTTAAATTACATCACTGCAAAGGGGAAGAATTCTTCAGATAGCGAATCAGCTAGTGACTCTCAAACTGATGAGGACAATGGAGATTTTGAGGGTGGCATTCCAGGGAAGAAGGTTGTGCACCCTCATAAATCCTCGAAAATAAAAGAAACTGTTCCTATGAAGGAGGGAGATGAGGGGAACTGGCAGGCATTTCAAAATTTCTTACTCAGAGATCCTGATGAAGACAGACGCGATCTTGACCAAGGCATGTTTTCTAATGAAAAGAAGAGTCAACTGAAAAGACAACAAACTAACCTGGGGGATGATCCTTTAGTTTCTGGCGGTCAAGATAGGGGAGAAATTCAAGAAGGAAATACAACAGATATTAATAAATTTAGTGGAAATGTTACCCGCATGCGAAAGTCATCAATTGATCAAATGTTGATATCTGCAAGAGATGATCAGTTGGGGCATGGTAATGGGCGAATGGATTTACGGACTACAGAAATAGATGGCAGAACGGGTGGTTATAGAAGGGCTGCCACTGATGATTTTATGATTCATGGACATAATAACCAGTCAGGTTTTACAAGTTCTCCCTCGGATCCGCTTGCAATAAATGGATTTGATCGTGCAACCAGCAGTTTGGATAGGAGGTCTTCTCACATGGATGATGATTCATACATAGTTCCATTGAGGTCAATTTCACTAGACCATCTCGAAAACAATGACAGAAATGCTATTGACATGGGCTCTGAGTTCCCATCAGCAGCCCAGAAGGTGGAAAACTCCCAAGTTAATTATGAGCCAGATGAATTGACTTTAATGCCTGAGCGTGGTGCAGAGAAGGGTTCAACAGGCTACGACCCTGCTTTGGATTATGAAATGCAAGGTGCTTCTCTGGATAAGAAGCATAAGGAGGATTTGAGTGACAAGCAAGGGTCTAAGAAGCCCGACAAGGATAAGAAATCAAAAATGGTTTCAGATAGTTCGGATAAGAAGATTGGAGGACCAATAAGGAGAGGAAAGCCCTCAAAATTGAGTCCTTTGGATGAAGCGCGGACGCGTGCTGAGAAACTAAGAAGCTATAAAGCTGATCTTCAGAAAATGAAGAAAGAGAAGGTTATTTATCATTTTCCCATCTGTTTTGCTTTTTCAGAGAGTAAATTTACTAAGACCTCTCCTAGTCTTACAAAATTACATATGCTATTCTCATGATCCAAAGTTTAGAATTTTTCTTTTCGAAACACTTTGTTATTATTATCTTCTTGACAGTTTTTTAATGCCTTGGACTTGTAACTGAGTTTGAAAAGTTTTTATTTTTATTGGAAGTTCAAAAATTGGATCAATATTCTCTATATTGTTGTCACCAGACTCTCCACCATCTTGCACACCTATTTGAGAAAATAATTCTTTTTTCCTTTAATACCCAGATTTTTAATTGTTAAAATTATTAGAAATTATTCTGAAATCTACTATGACAAGGGAGGCTAGTATAGTTTATTAAAATTGGAGGTATGTAATTCATTTGTTTGTTATAATTTCCCCTAATGCTTGATTTCACTATGAAAAGTAGAAACCCTCAATGTTCTAAAATCGATATGCAGTAGTCAGGCATTGGGTAGGGGCCTAGCGCCCTAGGGACTAGGCGTTTTATTTTATTTTGATTAAATTTATTATGTAAAATAAATAAGTGTCTACTTATATTTTAAAAAAAATAATACATAATTTTATTAGGAAACTTAAATCATATAAAATGTCTTATGGATGCAGATACTTTTACAAGTTAGCCATGTCCTTGTCAGACAATTGCATGTTAGGAGGTCAACATGTGTATCAATCTTGTATATCTCTTTAAATCATATAAAATGTGTCATAAAACTATGAAGCACTGGAACTTTTACAAGGTGGTCCTGTCCGAGGGCAGAACTAGAAACTTTTTACAGGGTGGGCTAACTTAAGATTTATTGTTCTGTTTTTTTGGTTTATAAAACGAAGAACTGATGAGTACAATTTTTTTAAATGAAACTAGCCTATAATTTGTTTCTAAAGAGTGTAACATGGACAATTGAAAGTTATAACATAAAACCAGACGTTGATTGACAAGTATGATACATACAGATATGTACAAACAGAGAAGTGAAACAAAAGAATCAAGAAAAAAAGCTAAAATCGATTGTTTTAAATTGTAACTATAATTTTTTACAAATAATAACAAAAAATGAACTTAATGAGCTAAATAAATAATAGCCTACATTTGAAAATAGATAGGTATATAGACAAACAATTTGATTGTCCCACCAAAGCTACATGCCCTACAGCCTATGGTAGCCTGAATGTAGCTCTGCTTTGGTCCTATCCACGTTATTTTATTTTATTTACACCTGAACCTATTTGTAGACTTGGTGTTTTTCTTCAAGAAACATCCCCAATGAGTTTATGATTTTAAATTAAAGAGAGGGAAAGAGTTCACAAATCAGAATGTTATAACTTTAAATCATTAGTAAAAAGTAAAGTTCACATATTATAAAAAAATGTAATTGTTTGTTGCTTTCAATTTATCGCTCATCCTATTTGTTTTGCATCATAACTTTTTTCCTGGGTCTGGTGTCCATGTCTGTGCTACAAGAGGTTATATGTGTTGTACAATTGGCTTCACATGCTTTGTGCTAGCTAGTTTATCGGGTTTATTCATAACCTTTTTCAATTTTTGCACTTTTGGTTATCAGGAAGAAGAAGAGATGAAACGGCTGGAAGCTTTAAAGATACAGAGGCAAAAGAGGATTGCTGCTCGAGGTGGTACCATCCCTGCTATGTCACCATTGCCCTCACTGCAAACCAGGAAACAAGGGCCGACAAAACTATCTCCGAGTACTCACAAAGGATCAAAGTTTAGTGATTCAGAGCCTGGGTCATCATCTCCTTTGCAAAGGATGCCCAACAAAACTGGCGTTGTGGGCTCTGCAGATTCTCACAAAACCTCCAAATCCAGCAAACTGAGTACCGGAAACCACTCTGCTGGACACAGGTTAACCCAGTCTGTATCTTCATTGCCTGAACAAAAGAAAGACATCGCTGGTGTTGCAAGTAATGCTAAGCCATCCATGGCACGGATTAGAAGATTATCAGAGCCTAAGGTAACTAACAGCCATCATGTTACTCCAGTGAAGCCGCGGAGTACTGTAACAGTATCAAAGCCAAAAGTTTCTGATGGGCCTGAGAGCAAGAAAATATCTGCTATCGTGAATTATGACAAAAGCAAGGCTGCTACTCTCCCAGAATTGAAAATCAGGACACCAAAGGGACCTGATGCTGCCCAGAGCACATCAACAACAAAAGGAACGACACAGAAAGATAATTCTGTGAAGTCTACTTCTGAAGGTGGTCAACTGAGGAGGAATGATGACAAAATTTCACACCAGAGTGATCGGGATGACAACCCAGTAATTAAGAAAACCGTTGTGATGCTTGAGAATCCTTCCATTCCTATAGTACATGCATATGAAGAAAAATTGGGGGATGCAAAAGGACAAAATATTAGGGAGAAATCAGAGGATGTGTCAGAGTATGCTGTGATTCGGGCACCAGTTTCACCACTTACAACTGATACCATCAATAGGGAACCCACTCATGACCTATTACAGCAGAAAATTCAATCTCATGAGGTATGGCTGGGCAGATAACCAAGGACTTTGCTTACAGTTTTCAATTGTTAGCCTTTACTGACTACAATTGACAATGATGGGTGTGATTGATCTGAAAGTATTACAGCTAAATTTCAATGTTTACAGTCTTGAATATTGCAATTTCAATAACTGTGACACAAGAGGAAGATTCATAGGTTTTACTCGGATGCATTGTATCAATTCTTGGTCATTGTTCCCAGCTAACAAAAGTGCAGTTTATATGAGTCCTTACTATTACTACATGTGAAGTTCAAAGGGCTTTTTATTTTCGTTTATTTTATGTTTCCTAGTCATGGCATCCAAATTTTATTTGCAATTCAATTGCTTTGGTTATTTTTTTGGGTGTTATGTAGGTTGTTAGGCTTTTCTCTGTGTCTGCCTATTGGAAAAGAATATATTTTTATATTTTGCTCATATCATTAATTTTGGATCAATTTCCGAGTGGTCTTTGTGCAAATGTTTATTGATGATCTAATATTTTTGTATAACCACTTTGATGGATAGGGCACCGTGAGTAATATACAGAAGGAACCAGCAAAGTCTCCAAGCAATAGCATCGTTGGAAAGCCATATCAAGCTCCTTATGTGCGAGTTTCTTCTCTGGAAGATCCATGTACTCAGAATTCTGAGTACGGAAAAGCACCCCCAAACTTAGAGACTGTGGCAACAGGCACAGTGACCATAAAAGCGTTTGTATCTGAATCTAGTAACCTGGAAAAGATTCCAGAAGCAATTGAAAGGCCTCAGGCAAAGGAATCATCAAAAGGGTTTAGACGGCTGTTAAAGTTTGGGAAAAAGAACCATGGCTCATCATCAGGAGAACGTAATGTTGAATCAGATTACGTCAGCATAAATGGTACTGAGGCAGCTGATAATGGGACAAACAATGTTTCTTCTAGTGAAGGTAACTTTGCATTATGCCTTTAAAACATATAAACAAAACATTTTGATGACTGAATTTGAAAAGTGATTAACATTACGGAAAGAATAAAAGAAGACTAATGAAAAATTGCAGCTATAACCAAGTGTCAAGACAGGAAAGTTAAACAAATCTGAAATCCACACGATTTAGGTTGGATTTGGATATGTGGACTTAATTCATAAAATAGCGATTCAGCTTGTGTTGACTAAAGGAAAAAAAAAAAAAAAGTCATAGTTAACCAGTCCTGTACCATTTTGCTCAATCTAAACTCTCGAAACTACATACGATTCTCATTGAGAATATTACACTTTTCATTGTGCCGGTTAAACTTTATACCATCCAAATCCATTGTAGATTAAATATTTCTAAAACCGTATCTGTAAAAGAATGTCTAATTCATGTGCCTCCGTTTTCTGATTGTCAAAAACTCACTCCGGATACTGTAGGGTTTTGATGCTCCCCTCTGACAAGGCCAATGAGTGCTCAATGCATGTGTAATCTCATATTAGTGTCCAATGTGGCACATAGAGAACTAGTTCAGTTTTTCTTGTGCAGTTCCAGGAACTCCGCTTCCATTCAATGCTAAGAGTCACAAGTGAAGAAAAAAAGAGTGAGAAAATGTTTTGCTGGTGCGACTTTTGGCTGGGAGTTCGCTTTGCTTTGTTTTGTGTGCTGTTGTGTTGCACGAGTTTTTGATTGCTGTCTCTCCTGTGTTTTTTGTTTGTCATCACTAAGTTTCTGTTCATTTACGAAGATTGCAAGTCACTGGTTTGTGAAAAAATCGAAATTTGTAATGTCAAAGTGGGGATTAGGTCAGTGGGATGTTATTTATGGAGTTTGATCTCGAATACTACTTAAGCTGACTCATTTTTTATGCTCCTTTCCAGTGTTTACATTAAAGAATCTTATCTCACAAGATGAAACTCCTAATTCCAGCTCTACACTGAAGTGTAAGTGTTTACAATTTCTGCAACATGCATTGCTTCGTTCATTCATTTTTCTTTTCTTTTTAATGTTCCACTAATTCTAGTTGTGACTTACAAGTTCTTTCATATGGTTACAGCTTCTCGCCATTTCTCCTTGTTGTCACCATTCAAAAGTAAGACTAGCGAAAAGAAGCTGACAACGTAACGATGTGAATGCTTACGAAATTGAAGGTGAAGAAGCAACAAGCCTTCTCTTATTTTGCCACCACTTGGCCGCAATCTCAGTCATCAAAGCTATACAAATTTTCCTCTCCTGTATGTTTAAAAGTAAAATCTTAGTTTTGTTGTTGTTTAACTTGTCCTTGTACATTCATATTAGTTTGTTAGTGTTGCATGCAAATTCGTTTGCAGCTCTCCTCTGCGTAATTTGTAAACTCGACGATGATTGTTGTTGGACGGTTTGTTGTGAATGGGATTGATGTCTTGGGTTCTTGGATCTCACATGGAGGAAAAATGAACAAAAATAGTGTTCCTACAATTGAAGAGTGGCTTATATTTTCTCTCAAATTTAAACCAAAAGAGTTGGAAAAATCCCAAATAGCATTGCTCCTTGATTTGTTACATTTTTGTTGTCGCTCTTTAAACTGCTAGTCATGTCTTTTCTTCAGTACAAGCGATATTCTTACATTAATTTACACCAAGGGAAGGGAATGGCTGGAATTTGTGATGCAGCGGGTTGAGGAGAAGTGCCCTAACCGATGGGACAATCCATCACTTGCAAGTGTTAAGTCATGTATGCACTAGTAACATTAAAAAAAGTCTCTTGCCCGACAAGTATCGTATATGGCAGATTGCTTTGTAAGAGAATGCCACCTATAAATCTTCACTCGTTGCACAAATTGGTTAAGGAGAGCATTGCGCAACATTTAACTCGATGGGTTCACAATATTTCACCTTCAATCCTTTTTTTGGGGGGTTTTATCAACGGAGGAAGGGAGAATTGAATTCAAACTCCGGGCATCTTCTACCAAAAGTTGGTTGATACTCACAGTTGCGAACCACTGAGGTCGGCAAAATCTCAGGTGCAAACGTTGTAAACTATCCTCTATCTATCTTTCGTCACGAAGACGTTAACATGGCTACACAGTAGAATCTCTCAGAGGTCTCTCATGAGTTTCTGATGTTTTTGAGCCCTTCATTTGGGGTTTTCTCAGGCCCTATCAGGTTTGGAGTTGTTTGAATGATATTCAGATCAAACCCAAAAAGTGTCTAATACAAGATGGACAAACAAGTGCGCAAGCAAATGGTGTCGCGTGTTAATCAAATCTGATGACCAAGCAAGAAAGGCAGCCTCTGCTCATCCTATTCGAAGCTTCTTCCGCCAAACACTCGGAAGCCTTGTGTGGATTTTCGATGTGCCGGATGAGATTCACAGCCTCTTGATTCTTCATTACCTGGAACAGATTATAGTCTATGGATTAGTTACTCTAATAGGAATAAATTTTGGCAGAATGTGTGTGGGATAAGAAAACGTCAGTGCTACCTCCCATATGCCAGTGCTTGCTAAAATGACAAATTCAGTGTCGGGATCAACCCCTTCAACCCCAACAACAAGGTCTGAGCCTTTGGAACTCTTGGTGTTTGCTGCATTACCTGCAATCTCACACTAACATGTTTACTTTTCGTACACGTTCATACACGAGCATGCCAAAAATGAGGTACATGCAGGAATATTAAACACGAGTGCGTCAAAAATGAGGAATGGATTCGGCCGATGCTGGACGTGATGATTCATGGCCATTTAAGGTCATCGAATTTGTTTCTCAGCATGGTGTGGTCGAGTCCAAACCTCATTTCTTAAGTGAGAAAGATATTGTCACATCATCTGCCGTATCAGTTGGTGAATAAATTTGGCGACTATAGGGTTATGGTGCACCGTACCTCTAAGGAACCTGTGTGACCAAATTTTTTTGGTTGATTGCTTGTTCCTGCTGCCTATCTGACGAGCCAAACCATCTTTACACACAACTGCTCTATAGTCTCCCATGTTAGCTAATACAAGCTTTTCCCCGTCGATCAACAGCGCAGAAACTGAACCGACTCCATTCGTCTCCTCCGAGGCCTCTCTAACCTTCGATCTAGCACCAAGATAGGCTTTTCTCATTGTCTCCTTGCTCTTTCCCCTTATATGAGACTGCACATGGTTGGACTTAAAAAATGAAGCACGTAGGAGGAAAACAAAAACACAGACAATTGGGCCAAATTGCAAATCTCCAATAACATCTATGTTACCAATCAACATATTTTGTTATATGATGATAAATTCTCCTCTCCTATTGCGCACGCTCGAGCAATTCTAAAGTTGGTGTACACCAAAGAGAAAATAAGGCAAAACCCCGTTCGCATGAGCCGGAACTAATTGACAATTATCTTAATGAAAATTGGATTGTGATTACTTTAATTTGTGCTTAATCAAAAGGAAGTGTTCCCTGCAAATATATGGTTTTACCTCTTTAGGCTTCTTATCAAACAAATGTGACTGCATGTACTTGGTAACTCTGTCGCCAACCCGGGCATCAAAAACTCCAAAAAACCACAGCTCAAGCTCTTCAATTTGCTCTCTCTGAGCCACAATAAAGTCCGAATCGGAATCACCATAAGCAGCCGGTGATGTGTTGCTCTTAATGGTGTGATATCCATGTGAGACTGCAGGCATCATCCACGACGGTTTCTTTGCCATGGTGGCTTCTTTCTTCTTCCCCCCCACACCACTTCTCCTGAGGAAGCGTTTCAGCTGCAAAGCCGGAAACAACATTGTTGATAAAATTAAGAAAGAACTGCTATAGTTAAGGACACATACATACATACATATATATATATAGGGGGAGAGAGAGAGAGACGATCTTTAGGGTAAAAATTAGTGATAATCACATATGTATGCAAAGAAACCATCGAAACTTCAACTAAAAACAAGCAAAAAGACAAAAAATCCAACGTTTTTCTTTTTCTTTCGAGCAATATTCTAACTTAATCTAAATTTTAAGGAGAGACTCAAAGTTGAGTACGGAGAAGAATACGTAATGTTTAAACAACTTGGCTACGTCCGGTACGAAAATCAAACTTTGTTTATGGTAATTCCATGGGTATATAATAATAACAATTTCATTTTATTTTTTTCTTTGGTCATTTCCCATATTCCAAACACAATCGGCATATTCCATAATCTAGTACTACCATAATAGTTATCAGCCAAAACTCAGAAACCCCGAAATCAGAGTATTCAGATAGTCCAAGAAAATTAAAAAGGCTAAACAAATGCAGTGTTTCAAGAAAATGAAACATATGTACAGGAGCGCTCAAACGCTAATCGGAAAACACACGTAGACTTACCTTTTTCTTGATATGAAAATCTTTAACGCCCATGAACACCCCTGAATACGATCAGAGGTCTTTCGGTGATTATCTGGAAAATGGAGAAGATGATCGACCTTCAGGCCAATAAAAATTAAGAGCTAAACTTGGCAAATACGACGGTTTGAAAGTATTGTGTTGGTAATGTAATTACAGTTTGGAGGCTATTTAAAGTCGATGAGGAGTCAATGCTGGTTTTACATTCATCTAGAGACATCCTATTTTTAGGGCTAATCAATGTATTAAAGAGATAATTTATTAGCTTTAATCATCTCTTAATCTGTTAGCAAGAAATTTAAACTCTGTAACTCCCCATTTGAGGATATCATGGTTATGGTCAAAATTTACGTGGATATCTTGTTTGTGGTCAAAATTACGTTGTTTTATTTCCTGATCCTTTTTACAGTACAGGCGAGTCTCACATATAAATGTAGTTAACAATTATAGTGCAAACAGGTCCTTTAAAAGAAGAGATCTCTTAAAATAGAGATTAGTTTTAAGACCTATTCCACATCGAATTTTAATAATTCGAACCGTCTATTTTGTAAATCTCAGTTCATAGATCATCTATGCAAAAATTCAATTCAATCCGAAACTATTTGCCCATTTAATTGTCACGATAAAAATTCAATGTTTCTTAGAATATAGTGAAAATCAATTTCTTTGAACTCAATTAAATGTTTCAAATATTTCTGATATAGCTTATATTTTGCAAAGATGATCTATGAGTGCAACTTTAAAAATATATGGTTCGAATCGTTGAAGTTCGATGTGGTGTGAACCTCACAACTAATCATTTTTCTTTAATTTGTTAGAAAATATATATTATATTTGAGTAAATGTGAGTCGAACTCATGATTTGTTTCACATCTAAAAGCCCAAATAAATGAATTTAGAAAAAAGACGGTAGCTTGACAACAAACTATAATTAAACAAACCTTAGAATGATCTATGAAATTTTCGTTATACAGCTTAGTTTTGTGATAAATTAGGCCAACTATCATAAAAAAAAAAAAAAAAAATTTGGTAAAACCTAACTATCATAATTTCAATTTGGTGACCCAGCTTTAATAAAAGTCTTTGAAGTTTCTTCCCTTTTTTAAACTGAAATTAAAGACTAATTTTAAGCTTTATTGGCTCATGCCTTTTTAATTCCTTACAATCTTTCTATTTTTGTTGGAAGCGATATCGTGTTTATTTTATGTGACTTTTAGGCCATTAGATCCCAAAGAAGATGTCATGTTACTCCATAATACGTGTGGTCTGCAAAATAATTATGCGTATTTCGTTGGATCTTCACTTTAGAATTATTTTCACGAATTTTAGTGAGGTTACATCTATCTTTGATAACAAAATTGGAATCAAATTAAAGGTTTGAATTTTATAGTTTTGATTCTTTTACTAGTCCGAGTCGTGGCCGTGGACTTTGAAGTTTGGAATGGAACAAATGTAGACTTGCCAAGGACGGCAAGAAAATGGCCTTTCGGCTTTCATTATGCAATGATTCTTCTTCTCAAGTTGATGGAGCTGTCAGTCTGTCATTTTCCATTTAAGACCTTGACTAATGACCACCTTCTCTCACGTTGCAACGTTTCTACGACGGAATGATGAAATGCAATCTCTCGAGAATTTTCCATCAGTGCTACGTAACATTGAAGTCACACTCGAGGAAATAATGTAATCAAGGTAGATAATTAATTGTAAAGTGTACATTTAATATTAAAATAGTTTTTCCTGTACATTTTTTGTGTTTTTTTAATACAAGAGATAGTGGCGAGGGGCATTGAACTTAGGGTGTCAAATTTCATGGTGAATGCTCTTAGAGCATCTCCAAATGAAATGTCAAAATGTCCAAATAAGTAATAACGATAAAAAAAAAAAATAGCAATATTTTCCAACTGAGAAGCCAAATCTGATGTGGTATGACATGGAATGACATCTATTTCCCTTGCTGCCAAATTTGATAGTAACTTCAAAAAAAAATATGGGCTATGGTATGTGTTTCAGGGTTTAGGCCCTATAAGGGTTGTGGTGTGGATTTGGGGGTTTGACCTTGTGGTGTTCCTTAATTAGAGTAATGGCTTTGTCCATTTAGGCCTGTATTAAGCCTAGCACAATTATGGGTCATTTAAACGTATCTAGTTTCTCTTTAAGATTAAAGGTTTCACTAGTGGGCAAGTTTGTTTTCATCAAAGAGATAGTAGGTTGAAGGCCATGATATGTAAGCACAAATATATTGTATTAAAATTTTTAGTATATTTCTTTATTTACCTGTCAACTTTCCAGACTAATCCACGACGCTGGACTAAACATTGAATTCATGTCCAATGATAACTTTACATACAGACTACTGAGCGATGCCGGAACTTAACCACAAGGTGCCTGCGCACTTAACATAAAGACTACTGAGCGATGCCGCAACTTAAACCACAAGGTGCCCGCGCACTTAACATACAGACTACTGAGCAATTCCGGAGCTAATGCAAAAACTATCGAGATGAATGCGAGCCAACACTATGCTTAAGCTCTTATACAGGCCAAGGCTTAACTTTGCACATGAATGCCTTCTGTTGGCCGGAAGCTGAACTACGAAAACCAAACATGTAATGGTTGGGAAATTGCAACCGGGGACCCAAAATATCACCGACTACTGGTCTCAAAACAGATTTCAGACAATGAACCATAATAAGGGTGCAAAGACCACGCTCCAAAAGATGTATAAAACATCGAGTCCACATCACAATGACAAGACAAAGCAGAATGACAGAAAATTCATCCAATATAAGTTCTCCATTTGTCAACAATATTAGAAACAAAAATTGCTCTTAAAAACTAAATTTGATCCAAGATAAACAACGGGATTACAATCCAGAGTACACTGAAAAGATTCCATAACAAAATTGTAAACCTCACGACTGAAATTGCTTAAGCTGTGGACTTTTTCAATTTTGCAAGCTCGCTCCTCACCAGTCCGGCCCTCTGCAAATCAGGGAAATATGTTACCTTGGGGCGGTTCAACATGACAAGGACAAGAAAACAATAGCAATCATCTAAAGGATTAAAATAAATGATGTCATGATAAAGAGCATAACCAACCTTAATCTTAGCCAACATGAGCTTGAATCGGTCAAAGTCGTTGAGAGCTGCTCTTCTCTTCTGAACAATCAGTTTCCTACCCCACGAGCTGTTCTCCCACTTCTTCTTCACATCTACCAATACACAAACAATTATCAAAAAGGACGGCGTGGGAATGAAAACAAGACCATTGTTATTTATGAGTAATAAAACGTACCAGCAGCTTCCATTGCGGCAAGCAATTCCTTCTTCTTGGGGACCCTCTTGATATCAATCTTGATGTCAGTGAGAGAAAGCCTCTTGAAGTTCATTTGGGACCTCACCATATCAGGAGCATCGACAAGAGCCTACAAAGACACACAAAGCAGAAGTACGACAATCAAAACCATGATATGCACAGATGATGTCAATGTAGAAGAAATATACAAATGTACTGTATAAAGAGTGAAGTTCTCTGAAAGACTACCAAAAATATGAGGAGGGGGGCAAAAGTTCAGGACGGATCCCAACCTGACTCCGACTGAAGTTATTACGAAAGTGACATTAACCCAATAAAAACTTTAGGAATAACTGGATCAGCATTTGAATTTTGAAATATGATTCCTCACTACTTTGCACGGTACACGCTGTCGACACGACAATAAACACCGAATTTCCTTCTAAGATGTAACTCCAATGAAGCAGATTTCAGTACAGATATATAAAGCAACAACTAAAGCAATACAAAAACCTAACCGCTTTCGGACTCACTGAAAATTTACACGTACAGGTCCTAACAGAAGCTTTGATTCAAAACTTATCATAGCATGCTTCACAGGTATTAGGCATGTGTAACGCAAGGGAATAAAAACAAAAATTCCCAATACCCATTTTCATAGAATTATTAAAATAAATATCATCTAAAACATCAAATCAAGCATAAATCAAGACAAAAATACAGACAATTAAAAAAACGAATGGAATTCTAAATTATTTACAAAAAAAGTAAAGTGAAATTTGGAGATACAAAAAAAAAAGGAAGGAGAAGGGTACCCTGTTCTGGTCAAGGACGTCGACGATGACGACGAGCTTCCCGTAGTCCTCTCCGTAGTTCACGAGAGCCACCCTTCCGATCTCGACGTACCTCTTGAAAGGCTGTCCAAACAACAACAAAAACGAAACAAAACAGAACAGGGTGAGATCAAACAAGAAGAACGAAACGAGGTCGTATTAAAAGAGTATACAGAGAAGCCAAACGCCATGGATGAGGAGAGAGAGCTCACCATTTTTGGTTCTGGTGAAGCGTGTGATGTGTGAGAGAGGTCTGAGGAGGCGGAGCTTTGAAGAGAAGAGAAAATGGTCACGGTGGGATTAGGGTTTTGCTTATGGGTTTTGTAGTGTGCTGCGGACCGTTGGATTGGGTTGGCTTTTGTTATTGCTGTTGCTGCTAATGGGCTTTACATGAAGACCAAGTAAGGCCCAAATTTATAATTGGGTCATTGTATACACCCTAGTTTTATCTTTGGATGCTCTTTATTTCCCTAGGATTCAATTTCCTTTTACACATTTATTTGGACACCCAAAAATATAACCTTCTGTTTTACATTTTATGAGGATTTTGGTTTATAAGAAAAGTGGAGAGGGACGAAAGGTTGTAGATATTTGAATAATCCTGAAATCGAAAGAAAGAAGGGAAAAAATAGGTTATAGGTCAGGGTTGGAGATGGTCTTATGAGTACTCCTATTGTGGACACATGTTGTGAGTCATGGAAATAGTTATTCCTATTTCCTTGGTCAGTTTGTTTTACGCTTTTCTATTTTATTTAATTTTTTAAACAAACGAAATTATCTATACTAAAGAAGAGGTGATGGGCTTAACCTCACAATAGGCTAACAATAATGTGATTCAAACTCACCTTTGGGAGAGGAAGAGGAAGAAGGAAGGGACCAAGTGAATTTTTCCAGTGGACGGTGAGCAGATAGAGGAAGTGGCGGAGAAGGTTATTAATATTTAGGGACAATTAATGAAATTTTTAATAAAGTATTAATTACCCACTTTAGCTCACATCGCACTCCTCTATGTGTTCGTATTTGGTTAGT